AAATGTCACCATATTGTCATTGGGATATCATGTTTTGCTTAACTATGACATAGAATTAAAAGAATATGTAGAACTGAATCAATTTGGAGGATCTCTCTTTGGTTTATAAACTATGAAAGGACAGCTGTTGTGTAAAAAGGAGGATAGCATTTTTTATCTTTCCTCCTATATCAAAATAATCAAAACAATAGGCTTGATGTTTTCAAATGTCACCATATTGTCATTGGGATATCATGTTTTGCTTAACTATTAGAATTAAAAGAATATGTAGAACTGAATCAATTTGGAGGATCTGGTTTATAAACTATGAAAGGACAGCTTGTGGAAAGGAGGATAGTATTTTTTATCTTTCCTTATATCAAAAATAATCAAATTTAGAATTAAAAGAATATGTAGAACTAAACTATGAAAGGACAGCTGACATTTTATCTCTTCTAGTAAGGACAGCTTTGTGTGTAAGGAGGATGTTTTTTTTATCTTTCCTTCAAAATAATTTTGATGTTTTCAAATGTCACCATATTGTCATTCATTTTTGCTTAACTTTTTTTACTTTTTTTCATTGTTCATTTTTGGGATCTAGATTCATTTGATTTTGATTTACATTGACATTTATCACTTATTTCACTGACTTTGTATCGCTTTTGTTTTCTGTCTCAGTTGTATCCTGTTGAGAATTCTGTGTTTGCCATTCACTGCTTAATTTAGTAACCCCCCTCCCCCACCTTATTTTTGTTTTCTTTTGCTATCCATTGTTCTGTCACGTCTTCAGTCAACCCCCTGTATATTTGCTTTTATTCAATTGCGTTATTTGTCTATCGTTTATCCTTCATTGTTGTGATTGATTCTCCTTTGTCATGCTTTGTTTCTTATCCACACCTTTTTTTACTCCCTTAGCACCCTTCTCTGCTCACCGTTTTTTGATGTGTCCCTTTCTTTTGTTTTTTTTTTTTTTTTTTGCTGTGATTGTGTGTTAGCAGTCAACGTAGTTCAAATTTGTACAACATCCAATGTAAACATTCCTCTCTTTGTTCATTATTCATTTGCTCTACATCAGATTTTCTTTTGCTCACAACCCATCATTTTATGTTGACATTGAGTTTACATTTTATGTTTACCACTTGTCTTTTAATAACAACCTCTTGTCAGCATTACATCAGAAGATTATTCTGATTTGTTTTTTATTCCGAGCAAATATAACCCATGTTCAAATGGGGCTGAAAGTATTAAAACGCTGCCGTGTTACATCTTTGTAAATTGCAAATCATTAAGTGTAAATTTTATACTTGACAAAAGAATGTTTCAGTGTTTACCAAAACTTTCTTTATGGTTAGTTACTCATCTATACAGATAGTTCATTCTTCCTGTAGATTACTTCAGCTGGAAATTTAATTTAGTTACTCTTTATTATATCAAAAAGAATCTAACCAAAACTTATGACTGTTTAATCTTACATAACAAAAAAAAAATCAATCTCCTAACCAGTCTGTGTACTTTGATATGTTGTTGGCTTATTCAGATGCAAAATATATTTTCTTGTTTTTGGAAAAACAACTATTTGAATTACGTAGATAAAACATGATAACTGTTTGCAGTTGTACATGCAGAATATATTTTTTTTTAATCTGAGAAAATATTTCTTTCTTAATACAAGCATTAATTATAAGGCAAGACTTTGATTTATGTATGATATTACTTTTGATACTTATTCATTTAAAGGAACATTTGTTAGTTTTGTATTATCTAGTTGGGTAATTATTGATGCATTTACCAAATTTTCTATGGTTTTAAGGCTAATGCAACAGGATTTTAAAAAAATAAACATTCAGTCTATACTCACCCTGTTTCTTATACCATGAAATTTAGTCTCAGTTATTTATAAGCTTGCAAAATTTTAATTTTTTTTATACATATACAAAGTACAATCTGTATCTTTGTATGTGTGATTCCTTTTTTTCACAGTGCACAGATATTATACTGATCCTAGATAGCAGTGCTGATCCATAAATAATTATCATTTATTTCATTGCTACTATTATAGTTATTAGATAAATCCAACTTTTAAGAATTTAGTTAACTTTCTCACTGAGGCTGAAAATTTTTTTCTCTTAAGATCTTTAATATATGATATTTTTATTGTCTTTTGTCTCTTATGAATGAATAATATATCTTTGTATCAATTCAAATAAAAATGAATTACTGAGCTATGTCACAATATTTATTTTATATTTTCCCTATAAAATTTTGTCCCCCTCCTTTTCAAGCATTTCCTGATAAGTGATCTTTTAAATTTTTTTTTTTTCTTGGAATATTGATTTGGAATATTGATTTGGCTAAAAAGAACCCTTTTTATTATTTTCAACATCAAAAACGTAAGAAATAAAATGGCAACACTCTGCTTTTGTTGTCTGTTGATGCAATACAGCAAGAGGTGTCAGATGGTGTAACTTAATGAATCCGGTTATGTCTCATGAAGGGAACAAGTCAAGTTGAATTTACTGGCTAAGGAAATAGTCTTCTAGAGCATGTTGAGTAGCATAAGCATCATGATTCTGTTGGAATGGTCTTCCTGTTGCAAGAATTGCAGTAGAATAGCTTCAACACTGTTCTGGACATACAGACATATATGCATCCTTTCCACAAACATGCGTTGAGTCCATGTATCTTGGGCCAATACATCCAAAAAGATATTGTTCCCAGAGTCAACACGTGCAAGTGGCCGACACTCACATGAAAGCACAGAGCCTGCTCTTATCAGTGAACATTACAGAGTACCAGTTCATGTTTCAAATGATTCTCTCACAAGTCCTCTGAAAATGTTTAGGATGTTGCTGTGTCATAAATAGAGATCTGGCTAGAGACATACACATCTGAAGACCTGCAAGTAAATGATACTAATGATTCAGTGGCAAAATGTCTGGGGGCAACATTTGCTCTACTATGATCTAGTGTTTGAAAACTGTGCAGTTTGCCATTGCTGCTCTTACAGCACATTGATTTTTGGCAAGCATCTGTACAATATGGCTATTCAGAATCTAGTTTACTTATGTAGGAATGTTTCAATGATCAATGGTGCGAACATTGACGCACCACCAATGCATCATGTCTAATAATGTTCAGCAATTCTCCAAAGTGATGATCCAGCTTGTAAACCCACAATCTGACCCTTCTTCTTAAATTTCTCTAACTGAACAAAAGATGCTTGTATGAATTCCCATGTTCTGAAACCTGTTTGTATGGTACTATTGCATCACACTGAACATTATTACAGCATGTGTTGTTATCAAAATCTCAGGCATAGACAGTACCCTGGGCTGAGTGTTATCCTATGTTACATAATTGTCAAAGACTTTGGAATTTTTATCATATCTACAACACACTGTTTTTTTTCTTTCATGATGTTTTGTTCCCTTATTTGCCATCTTTATAGTTTCATTCTTACAGAAATTATGGTAAAAAATAAATAAATAAATAAAAGTGCCTTTTCCAGCCTACCAGAGATTTAAATGTTTTTCATTAGAATTCTGCTAAGATTAGAAATCTGAATTTGTGAATATGACAGATGATTGAAAACTTCCTAGGCAAGCTGTAAAAAAAAAAATCCTGGTCACTGAAGAAACATGGGGCCTTGTATTATCCCTGTGAAATATTATACTCTTTCTTTTAACTCCAGGCACTTTTTATTGATTGCTGTTTTCATTTAGTCTACTTTGAAGCAGTACTTTGGAAAGAGCTCATAGTAGAGGACTTCTTACCAATTGTACCATATACAAAACCCCATCATTTTTTTATTTTTTTTAAATGAACACTGAACTTTGATATAAGGTTTTATTTCATTTGTCCAATGATCTCTTGTATTCTGTATTGATAAATGTTGCTTTTCATTAAAGATCAGTTGGTTAAAAAATGGGAAGATTTTTGTAGTAAATCTCATTCAGAAATAGGCTCCACTAGTTGTTTTGTTTTCACTTTTATGGAAGCCATACATTAAAATGACTAACATAAGCAAGCTGCTGCAAATTTGAGTATTTGGCATAAGTTGACACTTTCACATTGTATAATATCAATTATTCTCAAGTAATGTCTTTATTTGATTGTTATCAACTTCAAATGGTTTGATCATGGTGCCATATTCAGTGAGAAATCTCCAACAAAAAATTTTGCAAATCAGTTTTGGTATGTTTTATTATTTGCAGTACCTTCTGCATAAAGAACAAAAATCCATTTTTATGTTCAAGTCACATTTTTAACTTTCAAAGATATAAAGGATATTAAAAATGTTTCTTATTTTCTATCTCTACTGTTAGAATCAATAAATGACAATTTTGACAAAATATTTAAAAAAAAAAAAAAAAATGTATACTAATATGACAGCTGTTGAAATCAAAATGCATCTTTTTTTTAAGTATTGTGAATTAAAAACTAAATGCTACTAATGGCATTTAATGACAAAAACAAACTTTTTGCCTACTCCAATATATGATGTTGTTGTCATTACATTTATTAATGTCCTTATAATTCTTATTTAAGTGCGCTGCCCAAAGTTTGAGGATTTTGTCATTAAATACATTATGCAACTGGGGTCTCTCAAATTTAATTTTATTATTCCTTTTAGTTACAATACAAAGATGACAATGACATTTACTTTGAAGTTAAATATAATTAAGAAAATAGAATACAAAAACATTTATTTTTGAGAAATGTTTGGATTATTAGTTTTATTAGCAATTTCTCCTAATAAATATTTTCACAATGACGTTAATTCTGGAAGTTTAGATTAACATATTTTTTTTTTTTTTTTTCACAAAATTAAAACCCAGAAAGAAAGGCTCAGTAAAGGAATATTTATGATAGAAAAAATTTTCAGATTATGATTTCCTGTTCTTAATTTTATTGTATTCAACTTAACATGTGGAAAATTTAGTTTTTCATTCATTTATCATTTCTTTTAATAAGTTATAGTGCTATTAGTAAAAAAGTTTGTATATGCGTTTTTCCTTTAGGATCTCCTTCCAGTATAGCCAAAGACATTGCACGTTTGGAAGAGCAAAAGCACCAGTTGACCTATTTACAGAAGCTTCTTAGTGACCAACAAAATCAGTTAGATGAAAGACAGACTCAAGTGGAACAAATGAAAGGAACCATTGATGAAAAAGATGCCCAAATATGTGAAAAAGATAAATTAATTTGTGAAAATAAAGCACAAATTAGTCAGCTGAATAATCAACTAGAAATTGCACAGACACAGATTAAAACGTAAGTTTGGCATTATTGTTGTTGTTGTTTTTTTTGTTTTTGTTTTTTTACATGTGCTACAAATATATTAGTTGTGTATTTGAGTAGCAATTGTTTTTTAATGTTTTGTTAAATATAACTAATAAGGTAAACAAAAGAAGTTCTTGCCATTTTTTACGTCCTGTGGGAGGAAGTGGAGGTCTGATGAGAGGCATATATGCCTGTAGTCTTACAACAAGTAAATGATCCCTCAGGATTCAGTATTGAAATTTGGGTAAGGGGGCACATTTGCTTTGATCTGTGCTGTGGGTGGCATGAAGTTTGTAACTGCTGCCCTTAAACTGTCTTGATATTGGCAGGAATCTGGACTTTGTGGCCATCCAAAACCAAGTCATTGGTGTGGAAATGTTAATTTGGTCAATGGTGCCAATATCAATGCACCACAAATGTGTCATGTCCAACATGCTTGTCAGTGCTTCAAAATGACAATTGGGCCTTTGATGGCCAAACAATTTGATCTTTCTCAAACTACCCTAATTGAACAAAAGGAGCAGGTATGCATCTCTGTGTCATGAAACCTCCTTTTATGGGACTGTTTCACCACACTAAACACACATTGCAACATAGCACATAGGAAGGCTGAAGTGTTTGAACATTTTATTATAATGTTTACTATGTTCAAACATGTATAGTGCATCCAGGCCATAATCATCATTGTCCTTGAGGGTGTTGCAATTTTATTTTCTATCATTGTGTATGCTGGAAAAGCAAAAGGGGAATTAGACATGATGAATGACAGATATAATGGCTGGCATTTAGCTGAATCAGAAATAAAATATTAAGTAATATGGAACATTTTTGTATGACTAATAATCTCCTACATCCTAGAGAATTGAAACATTTAAAAAAAAAATTTTTTGTTCTGATTTGTATATTTGGTTAATGTTGATTTTACAAATTTTTACATTATACCAGAGTGTCTATTTTTCATTTCAGTTTAGAACAGGAAATCCTTGATCTCAAAGAACAGTTGTCTGAGAATAAAGATCTTAATTCCACCTTGAAACTTGAGCTGAGCATGTATGAACAATTGGATATTAAATCCAAAGGTAGGTTTGCCATCATTTTGGGATGTGCATCTTTGTTCATTTGGCTTCAAGAAGCAATTCATAAATGACTGGAATTATTTAGTAACATGTAACTGTCATCTTTGTATTTCTTTTGGGAAAGTGAAAAGTGATTTTAAAATAATTCTTGCTTTAGAGAAATCTTGTAAATTAATTCAGAATTTATACATCAACATAATTTATTGAATGGAATCATTTGAAATAAATACTGCATAATACATGATATATTATGAGATTATACAGCAAAATTTTCATTGGTGTGATTTTCTGCAATATAAATTTTATCATGAATTAAACTAGAAATTTAATAAGGAAATTAATATAATAATATGTTAGGATTTATAACTCTGATTCATCATTAGATACTTTGAATTTAAAACAATTCTCTCATGCTTTATATGAACACTTTTATTTTATTTTATTTTTTTTTTTTTCATTACTATTAAAATGACTTTACAATAAATGTCTCTTTGTGTATGTCCAACTCATTGTAACAGTTTCTGAACATGATTCCTGTTTTGTTGTTCACAAAAGATCAACTTGAATCTGATCTTTCTGTTTCCAGCTCAGCCAAAGTCTAAAAAGTTTGACATCCGGGAATTCCTCATAGAGTTAAAGAACTTACGCAAATCTATGGAGCGGTGCATTAGCACCAATAACATTTTACGTCGGAAACTTGAAGAAATCCTGCTGCCTCACAGTGTTTCCTTCCAGGGTGACAGTAGTAGTAATAACGCTAGCAGGTCCCAACACAATCTATCCAACACAAGTCACACGAATAACAGCACCACCATTGGTGAGAGTAATAAGCCAAGGAGCAACCTGTTATCTCATGCTGAGACGAGTGCCTTGACCAAAGAACTAGAAAGATTGGAAGCAGAAGATGATGATCAACAGGTTGACTCTGGTAAGGCCGTTTTTACATCAACAATAGAGTCTTTGCCTTTTGCTCTCAGTAAACCAAAATCAGGGCAAGCTTAGTAGTCATTTATTTACATCCAAATGTTTTCCTTTCTACACCTTCCTCCTCTTCTCTATCTCTCTGGGGATTAAGTTCTTTCACTGCTGTCGATGAACTTGTATGTCTTTATAACATCTTCATTGCCTGCTGTTGATCTATATATAAACATTTTCAAGACACTGTCAAAATTCTGTCTTCTGAACTAACTAGTACAAACCAGTGTACAATCAGATTCGTTTGCAGACCAATTAGCAACCAATTGAAACCAAAATGGTATTGTCAATCAAAAATTAGTGTCTTTATAGTCATTTATTTCCAGTAAGTGACAATTTCCTATTTTCCCCAAAATGGATCAGCAGAGTCAGGCAACAATGCTACAATTATGTCACACTGAAAGTGTTAGAAACTCTTAGTTTCTCAGGACATTTGTCAAGTAAACATGCTATAGAATTAATGATATTTTAAGTTCAATAACTTCCTCTTAAAAATAACTGAGTCACAATTTTATACAATTATCCATTTTTTTTTTCTTTTCCAAAATCTTTGAGATTTTGGTAACAATATTAGATTCTTTACTGTAAGTTAAGAATTTACTTGTTTTGTAAGTGATCTTGTTTCTCCATTAGATATCAATTCTGTAATGAGCCATTTTTGGTTTTGAGCTAAGAAGTAGAGGTTTGCATTATGGCTAAACTGAGAATAAGCCTAACATTTGTAGTTAAGACAATTGTATATAAAATGCATGGTATCTACAGGATATAAATAGTGATGGGCAGGATTTATTTATATTCTGTGCTTTTTGTATTAAATGAACAAACTTTATGAAGGGAAATATCTCTTTTGTTTATGAAATTCAAAGACATTTCAGGCATTTGACATTTTCAAAATTATTTGTTAACTAGAAATGAAAATTAAAAGCAATTACTAAATTAATCATGGGAATTGTCATTTGGTTTTCCAATAATTTTATTCTGAGACTATAAGATTAAACTGAATTTTGTGTGTGTATGTATTCGATATCTTTGTCATCATTTATCACTCAGTTGTTTTTTAGGGATAAATTATTTTCCTTGGGAGGGGAAGCCTCCCTCCCAGTTTAAAAGCATTTTTGATGTAAAAAGATGTTTTTGATTAGCTTGGCTTCCATTTTGTTCTTTTTTTTTTTTTTTCCATCTAATCCAGCACATGGCAGTGGAGATAGTGAGCTGGCATCCAGTTATGGGAACAACACATCAGAACTACTGAAGCAAACTATTGACATTATAGAAACGTCCTCCTCCTCTCTGAACCAACAACCAACCTCTCTCTCTCGTAATCTGTTTGGCAGTCCGAAGGCTGGAAATGAAGATGAGATGGCTGATCTTCATCCACTGCAAACAGATAGTGATGGAACAGCTGGAAAAAACAACAACAACAACAACAACTCCAAAGGCCCATCATCATCTTCAGAGAACAGCAATAAGAACAGCATCAAAAGTGAGATTTCTATTTTTTTTAATTCCCAATTTCATTGTTGCTATTGTTCAATTTAATAAATTTTGAAATATATTGTCATTCAATTATATGTTAAAATCTATATAAAAAATGAGATGATATTTACGATTGCCAATTCATTGTTGTAACCTGTTTGTATAAAGAAAGATTATCTTGCTTTTGATATAAGACATAAGAATGTACTTCAAAATTTGCTGCTTCTTAAAACCTTTTCACCAAATAATTTTGAAATTATTTAATGATTAATATTGTAATCTGGAATTTCTAAGTGGTAACCTCCAATGCTACAAATTTTTTTTCTTATCTCAGTAGTAAGTTTCTGTTGAATAATTTGGTAGATAAAAAAAAAAATAATGACAAATCAACAACTACATTATTTTGGTTATGTAAACTTTGGTTTGGAGCTAAATAATATTAAATATTTAAGGGGATTTAAGCTTTGAGTTCTTTATGCAAAAGAGAGTACTGTAAAGTTCTGTGCCCAACCAATTCTTTTGTAAGGACTTTTTGTCTGGGTTGATAATTTTTCAGCATTACCATCTTATATGTACATTTTAGGTTTTGAATGAATTTTTTTTTCTTAAGATTCATCTCTATTTTATTGAAACCTTTTCTTTTGAGGCACTTCCATAAATTCTGAGACTCATGGTGAGAATTCGGACATGGCTTGGGCATCATCAGTAGATTTCATTAATGGAGGATTGCACAATGATAAGATTGGTGGTCTGAACTCTGCATCAACTTGGCCTGGCAGTTCAGTTCTGAGTAAAGACCACATCACATATTGGTCATTTGATCCTCCTGGAAATCCAGGTATCATTTACTTTCACTTTTTAAATGTTATAATCTTCTTCTTAGCTGATAACTTAAGCCATCTTGGCATTTGGTTTTTCCATTACCCTCCTTGGCAGGATATTTGGGAAGATTTAAATTATGAAGGACACTTTGAAAGTCATGCTTGCTATTTATTCCCAGAGAAACTAGAAAAGATAAAGGGAGCTCAATAATATGACTGGATAGTGCAGATTTCTGCTATGAAACTTTATTTTTCTATATACTCAGAACAACTGGTTATGGATGGTCTCCAATAATGAACAAGAACCTTCATACTGCACATTTTACCAATCTGCACCAACAGAAGTGACTCACTTTTTCACATCAGCAATTGCAGTGTCAGGAAATGGTTGTCTGCAATATTCCATCTTTCACTGTGCCAAGTAGATGAAAGTTAAAAGATAAAATTTGGATCATGCACAGTCCAGTCAAAATTTACAATATGATCCATTATTTTCAAAATGTGTGAACTCTGGTGTCAGTGTATTGAAAGTGAAAGGTTGTCTTCTGTCCTGAATATGGAAATTTAGGCAATTAAGTGTTGCAATATAACAGATGATGGTTTTATCAGGGTTCCGGAAAATCCAGGCAGATTTTGTCTTTCCTATTCCAAAAGACATCGCACTTCACTTTCCACACTGACTGTTACATTTGAAATTTTCATTGAGAGAGAATTTGCATATCACCACTCCATAGATAATGGTTTTGATTCCAGCTCATGGTGATGACACCATGTCTTGTCACCAATAATGAGGTGGTCCATGAAACTGTTACTGTCTGCCTCATCATACTTCATTAGTTCCTAACAGATTTGCATCCAGTGATCATTTTTTTTTTTTTTGCTCTTGTGTGAGCATCTGTGCATGCACTTGGCATAAACTTTGCAATATTCCAATGTTGTCAACATAGTTCCTGATGCATAGAAGACAATATTGAATTTCAAACATACAGTTCCCAAGTCATAATCGGGAATAGATGAGCTGATTGAGGCATTCTTCATTTTTTGAGTCGACAGTAAATGTAAACTGGTGCAATTTTTTCCTCCATGGTGGAATTCAATGGTACACCTCTACGAATGCACTTTGACAGACTGCTGCTCAGTTACTATCAGGAGATGGGGAGTTTTCTGGTTTATTGGCTGGATATTTCAACGATTATTGTCATACTGTCACCATCCACCTCTGATTGTGTGACGAAACATAATAGGTGACATTACTTTTAGATCTACTCTTGTATACTCGATTTGTTACTAATTCTGTACATAGACAGTTTAATTTTTGTACATTTTTATACTGGCAAATTAATGAATTCCAAGGAAAAATTTAATGTACAAAATATGTATAAAATGCTATCATTAAGTCATGCATTCAACCTACATCATTAAATGTTTGTTCTCATTAAAACTATTTGTTTAAATTACCAAAAGGTAAGGAATCTTTGTGTTCAACTGTGATATATTCAGATATAATGTATTTTTTATATTTCTGTTTTCTTTTTAGTCAATTCACCTGTACGTATCAGCTCTGATCTGCGTTCCTTGTTTGCTATTGGAAAACTAGATGACTATGAATTATTACGTAAAGAAAACAATGAGATGTCCTACGTAGTTCGAAACCTTCAAGCCCGCCTTCGGGAGCGTATCAAAGTACATAAATCTCTCACACCAACTGATGTATGTATATTTTTTACATCTTTGTACATTTCTTTGACTTATTTTTTTATTTGTATTTAAGCTTTGAATAGTTTTTAATGCTATTCAAAATGAGCTCTCTTTCTCTCCTGCTGTCATTGCTCTATCTTTACAAGAGTCAGATCAGACCAAGAATATGGAGTATCATTTCTATATCTGAGCTGGAGCTGCCCAGTCCTGACTGTCCAGTCTTGACAAAGTTCAAAAGTGATTGCCTTGTGGGTAATGAATAATTCTCCACTCTGAAAACCTTTATCCCACAGATGAAACCTTACTAGCCTCTCGTATTACTATAGTAGATTTCTGGACGAGTTACATTCCTTAGTTCCACCAATTCAGACTTTCAAAGCCAGGACTCATCATGCCATGTTCACGGTGGCAAATCATTCCCCTTCTGTTCCTTTGATAAAGAGCAAGTTCCACTCAAAAACAGTTTCTTCCCCAAAACTGTTACTTTATGGAACAGGCTCTTGAGAGAATGCTTCCCTGGCAACTCCGATATTGGTCTCTTCTAATTCACAATCCACTGATATCTATCCCACACGTCCTCATAATGTGTACTTCTTACTATTTTCTCATCCCTTACAGCAATCTCATTCAGTAACCCTCTTCCTTGAGTGGCCCTTGGGTCTTGTATTTGGTGAACTAACAATATAAAAAATATATGCATTAGTCATAAAAATGGTGTGGAGAAAATTTCAACATTTTCAACACTTTTATTTAAGTAATTGATTTTTTTTTTTTTTTTTGTTCATATTTTCTATTTTTCTTGAATTCTATTTTACATTTGTTATGTTCCAAGTTTTGAATTATCATTTGGACTAATATTCTAGCTGGTCTGTTCTCTGGCTATCATGAGGTGAATGCTATAAACAGAAAAGTAATGGATGTAACCTCCACTTTGAAGGCTGGTGATGAGTTCAGCTAAAATTTCTTAAAAGCATTGATTTTGAGGATTGGTCTGAATAAATCACCAAGCCTGTTGTCTTGTGCATGTTAAGATTAATTATGATTATCGTGGCCTGTGATTTACTTTTGCATTCTCTTATTGATCATCTAATCAGTATTTTGTATTTGATAAAAACAAGTTTAAGATGAATATTTAACAACTACAACTGAAAAAAACACTGCAAAACCCCCACCTGTAAAGCAAAGACTTGTACAAATCATGTAGTTGAATCTAGTTTTACTTCATTTCTATTAAGTAAAAGTTGCTTTTTCAAGTACTTGTCACATTTATCCTATCAAGTCTTACCAAAATATAAATATGCACCCTGAATTTTTTCAAATATTCCTGAAACAAATATTCCTTTCCCATGCCAACATACATGACTATAAAAAATAAAAAAAATTAAAAGTAAACTGTTAAATTCATAACCTTCTTTTATTTAAAATATATGATACATAAATTAATCCCAAAATAAAATAATATAATTATTAATTACATTACCCCCCCCAACAAATTACTCACTTTTGTTTATTAGACATTGAATTACATCACATAGCATCAGTGTTTTTAAATTTAAAAATTTTGAGGAACTAGCATTTTTACTTTTGTTTATAAATACTTGTTGCAAATTAAAATCCTTACATTTAGCTTGATAAAATCCATCAGAGAACAAAACGTGTCGACTGATAAGTTTTCAATTTGTCTTTTTATATATATATATATATATATATATAGACAAATTGAAAACTATATATATATAGTCTGGTAAACAAAAATAAAAATACTGTTTAATAAATAGTGTCTGCTGAAATACAAATCTCCACTAAAAATAATGTTTAAGTAATAATAAGATTAATAAATAAAAATACATCCTTTTCTTTACATTTTGGTTTGTATACATATCTACTGTTTCATATTTTATTTCAACAGTCAGAGAGAAAAAAATCTGTGTAAAGACACTATTCAATTTTGCTTGGTCATTGATGCACGCTGCAGCTGAGAAAGTCTGATCTAATAATGGCTTCCCCTAGGGGAACATAAGTTCAAATCCTGCTGGTGGATGCATATTTTTCTCTGATGAGATTTCCCTAATATTTAGGCTGGTAGACGAAAATAAATAATAAATAAACAGTGTGTCTACTTAAATATGAGTATCCACTAAAAAAGTTTTAATATATATATTATATATATATATATATATATATATATATATGGTGGAAGAGTGTGAACTAGTAGCCAGCAACTTTTTGTACCAATTTATTTTTTTCTCAACCATTCCTTGATGTTTCCTTAAGTAACTTTTGAGCCTTGCAAGAGATTTGTATTATGTAATACAAAGTTGTGTGTATGTGTATAATCTTGTTGAATAATTTTGTATAATGAGAAATTCTTTTTTTTTTTTTTTTTTTTTTTTTTTTTTAACTTTTAACTGAGATTACAGATTGAATTTAGTGTCAAATAACCAGTGTACATTAAAATATGTAAAAGCCGTCATTTTAAGCAAAATAACTAGATTTATCCAAAGGAACATGTGCCAAAGAGCAGTGAAGGTGGACATAATCTTGTTTCTTATCAATTTTATTAAATTTTAGTCACTGACTTAATCTTTTATTTTCTCAGGTAAGAAATCTAAGATAATTTTGATTTCTGAAATGTGATTTAGAAACCTTTTTGTTTGCATATCTTATTTTTATTGAGAATTTAACATTTTTTTGTTAATAATCCTACTAACTTTTTCATATTGAATTCATTCCAATTCATCTTTATCAAAATTTACTTCTCTGCCATTTTTGTAATTTGCTTTTTAGTTTTTTTTCTAATACTGATTTTTTTTTTGTTTTTATTCTTATATGACTTGGCTTTCTTTCATCATATTTTCACCTTTAGTTTCTTTCTAATCAAATATCTTTTTTTTTCTTCTTATTCTTAGTAGATTTTCTAAAGTCATTATTTAGTTGAAGAATTTATGGCCTCTTCTCTCATTATTATTGTTTCTGAATCTCGTATTTGTTTTTAGTTGATTATTATTTCTGGTTATGTTTCTTTGCATGACCAAGGTTTCTTTCTCTCTCTCTCTCTCTCTCTCTCTCTGTTCTAGTTTTCTGCATGTCACTTCTGTTAAAAGTTGATTCTGTCGTCTTTAATAGCTTTTTTTGCATTATGCTTGCCTTTTTCTCGTCTTCTCTACATGCTTCTCTTTTTTCGTTCTGAGTTGAATTTTTTTATTATTATTTTTGGCATTTTAGAAACATCATTAGCAATAATTTTTTTCTTTTTTCTTTTTTCATCCCAAACAATTGCAGCTCTACAAGGTAATTACATTTTTTTCATTTTCATCCCAAACTTATGTTCTGTCCAAATTATGGCAAATAAGTTTGACATGTACATTTACTCATCTCCTTGCAGCACCATTTCTTTCATTTGCATGTGCAATCCATTAAAATTAACTTGAAATAATTTAAGAATACAAAAATATTAATTTTTGTCTATCTAGACAACCATTTTGGTTTCCAAATAATTTACTGTGGATATGCATTCTTCAGCTGAAAACAAGATGCTGTTAAAAGTGGGGAACTTTTTGTATAGGTATAAGTGTAAACATATCTTGGTACCCTCACACAGCCTTTCATTGACTAGGTAAATCATCCCATGCTGTGCTTTGATTTCAATCTGTAGGTGTGAATAAAATCTGGAAAAAAAACCAACATTCACAAGGAAAATAAAAAATAAAATAAATGTCACAACTGAGAAATGAAGATGTGAATCCTGTATGGTTGTTTATTCAGGGATTCACTTTGCACAGTCTGGAGATTGGAGGTAGGTAGGTGACACTTGGGATGTCACTGCCAATGCTGTTCTGTTTCTCACATCAGACTAATGGACCAAATCTTCCCTTTGCCTTTCTCCTACCACTCTTCTGCCCACTTGTACATCATGGCATGCATGTGGCTTGCTACTTTCTGACCACAGGTGGCCCAAAACTACACTCTATTCTAACTGTGACTCTGCTATTAGAACTTCTTAACTTCCAGCCAAGCGGCACTTGATCCCAAAAGTTTTTATTTATTTTCTCATTTTCTTTCAGTTAAAAGCTGGCCACTTTGAAAATTTTCTCCATGTTTTCAGACACAGATAAAATTATTCACAGTTCACTTTACTCTGTAGGTGTTCTAGTCTCAGCTGGTTTCTATGATATTGCATAAGGCTAGGAATATTCACAACATATTGTTTGTTCTGCTGTTAATCTTTTTGGAATTTATGCCTGGTAGGTTTTTTTAGATTAAGTATGTCTTGTTTTTTAATACAATGTCTCAGTTGATATATCCTTTGGCTTTCCCCTTGTGTATGTTGTATTCAGGCTTTAAAAAATTGGTTATTACCTCTTGTTCCTATCCTTGATTAGAACACAAACCTCAAATCTCATGTTAGTTTCTTCAAATGATACTTCCTCAATAAGGACCAGTAGACTGATTCCAATTTTATTCAGTCTTCTTGATATCTTAGCACTTCTCATCTCCTGATGCCACATGACTCTTATGTTGTAGTTTGGAAAAAACAAAAAAGAAGACAAAATTGGCATTTAAGGGACTATCTTAAAAATTGATTTACACTTGATTGTTTCTACACTTGATTGTTTCTACATTTGTTTAGGAAAATAAAAGTTTGCTGAGTTTTGTTTTTATGTTTACTCTTTTTATTTGTTGTTATTGATAAGCTTATTGATATATTTGAAGCTGTATAGTGTCATTATTATATATATATATATATATATATATATATATATATATATATATATATATATAAAATATACGGAAAAAAAACAAAAAAAATCCTCATATGCAATTATGCTGTTTTAATGTTAATATAATGTCAACGTCGGACGTTTCGGTCTAGTAGACCATCTTCAGGACATATTCATAAAACATAATTAACATTAGACTATATTTAATTCAACATGAAAAGACGATGGACATAGGAGTAAGATTAATCAAAACAGACAACTAAAATATGTCCTGAAGATGGTCTACTAGACCGAAACGTCCGACGTTGACATTATATTAACATTAAAACAGAAAACGTCTATTGTCCTCATCTTTATCGATATTTGTCGTTGACATTAGGTGGTTGGATTTTTTGTTAATCAAATAAAGGGTTCAGTTCAAATTCCAACCACCTGAAGAAGGCGGAGCGTATAAAGATGAGGACAATAGTTAATGTAAATCTAAGCATAATAATTGCATATTAGGATTTTTGTTTGTTTTTTCCATATATTTTCTTCATACTGTCAGATTTATATCCGTATATTTGCTTATATATATATATATATATATATATATATATATATATATATATATATAGTTACTGGAAATGTGTAAGATGAAGTTGGCTGGTACATTTATAGCAAAACCAATAACTAGAAATAGACAAAATAAAGTTTATAAGGCATTTTTAGTTTTCTTGTAATTAGGAAAGTTTTGGTTCTGCAATTGTTTTATCAAATTTGTCTGTTTTAACATTCGTAATGAAATAAATGACGTTCTGGATTATTATTTCTGTGAAGTAGAGGTTTTAGAATTTCTATTAAAAGTATTAGGTTTGCCTTTTGTGCTAGAAGAAGTTAACACTTCATTAATTATGGTCAAGTGACATTGTATGAAACTCATTCTCAGTAGAAAAAGGAAGCTGTTTTTCAAGTTTACTATAGAAATTATCTGACATTTTGAGGGCAGATTTTTTTTTTTTCTCGGGATGATAGCTTTTCTGTATGAAATAAAGTTTGCTGACATTTAATGTTTTTAATCTTTATGGACAGAATAAAGAGTACAGCACCTTACGTGATCTCTCTTTGCTGGTGGAAAACTTGAATGTTTGTCTCGGTGAGGAAAGTCGACTCATCAGCAATTTTTGGCTTTCTCAGCTTCCACTTCGTAATAGGAAAGGTCAGTTGTATGATTCTTTGAAGTTTAGGAAGGTAAGTCTTCAGTTTTGGTTTGTTTGTTTGTGTGTGTGTGTGTGTGTTTTTTTTTTTTTATTAATTTAAAAACAATATTTAATGGTATTACTTTGATTACATTATTCAATTTAAAAGCTTTAGATTTTCTCTTTATTTCTTCCTTATAAAATATTTATATAAAATCTTGACATGAAGAAAAACTATTTTTGCTGTTAATAGTTTTAAAAGGTCAAAAAATGGAATTATGTTTACTTGACAGCATTTTGTATTAATTCACGAAGGTTAACATGTTTGCCTTTTTTTTATTGCTGCTTAATAGAAATAAAATACAATGACAGTTTTAAATAATATTGTGATTTATATACAATCCTATACGGTATATTTTCTGTATTTTAGCAGTCTGCAGTTGCGATTCCTTTTGTTTGTATTGTACATGTATTTCTTTAGTCATAATTATGTGTGCAACTACACAAGGAACTATATTTTCTACTCAGCAAGTATATCTGCTGATTTGTAAATCACTCATTGGGAGACGTTATTTTAAGATCTACTTGGAATTCTTTGTTCAATCTACTGACATCATATTTTTGCATTATTTACAGTCAAGAAATTCAACATAAATCTTTTTTTTCTTCTATAGTATTAATTAGTGTTAACTATGAATGTTTGCAATTGCCTGGTTTTGATTTTTGAGAAATGTTGATATTTTATGTGAATTCATTCCTATCTTGTGTTTGTTAAAGAAGTTTTATCAAGTTATTTCGTCAAAATGCAATAATTATATATATTGTAAATGTCGATTAGAGATGAACAAATATATCAGGATTAAAATAACTTGAGGTGAATTCAAATTTTGTAAATTGTTATTTTTTTTCCTGACTTTTGAAATTAGAAATATTTTTTTTTCCTTTTTAGAATGGGGAAGTGATTGCTGAACTTGATGAAATCCAACGCAAGTGTGACATTGCAAATGAAAAAGTAAAAATAGTTGAGGACCAACTGAACACCACTAATTTGGTCAAAGAAAACAACAACAACAACAATGATGATGCTGTTGTTGTACGTCAACGTAAGTAAGAGTTTACCTCTCTGATAATTAACTATTGATCATTTATGCTTCTAACTAGAAATTCAACATTAGATTAAGGGTGGCATGCCTTTAAAAATAAATACTGCCAAATTTAAGTAACTGATGAAAAAAAATTATATTTTTGTGGTTAGTACATTGTGATTTGTAATTCTCATAAGTTAAAAAAAACTTGTTTTATAGGAAAACCAGTTTTATCAGTTCTCGAGTCAATTTCTGACATGACGAAAAATTCTTTTTGCTATTAATTTCTTACAATATTTCTTTTCATTTCTATCAATTTATTCCTTTTCTACATTCAACTGTTTTAAACTTAAAGCACTATACTAATGTTAAACATTTTTCTGCTGTCACTATCAGAAGAGTGAATATGTGAAAGGTAGAAAATTGATTTGGAAACAGTAAAAAGATTTTTCACCTTTCAGTCTTGTCCTTGCAAAATCTATGAAATTTATATCCCATAGTTATTGGACCAAATCTGTTGGGAGACATATTTATAAAATTCCACTTGTTTAATATATTAATGTAAAAATATTAATTTTTTTTTTTAAATTTTATTTCTATTCCGTTACAGTAAAACGAGCGGAGAAAGCTTTTCAACTGACACTTGGCACCTTTGAGCCAAGTGAATTGAATGGTTTCAATCAGGACCCAGTTGAGCCTCCTGTTAGGAATGAACCACTAGCAGAAAGCCTGACCCTACCAATGATGACACCACCAAAAACAAGGTTGTCTACAGTGAAAGATGAAGTGTAAAACTCAGTACCTCACTAAACCAAAATGAAAAGTGAACGAGAATCGATGAATGTGAAGAACATTCCATTTTGCTCTGTCATATTTAAACTGGGTGGGGATGGGTTACTCATGTCAGTGGGGGCTACACACTTGTCTTTCTCTCACCATCATTTCAAAGATGTCTCACCTGTCTGCTGGATGTTTCTCCTGCAAATAGAAGTCAAATTGAAAGAGAGAGAGAGATCAAGCATATCTCTCTTTTTATTTCCTTCTGTTTGTTTTCCTATAAATATTCTTATGCTATTAAAAATATTAGCAAGAAAGATGCTTTTTTTTTTTTTTTTTTTTTAACACTTATAAATACAGTTTTTGATGGTACAAAAAGAATTATTGAACTTTTTTTTTCATTTAAATGTTGATTAAAGAGGAGGATATATCTTCTGTTTGGAAGTATTTTTCTTGCAAACCAAATTTAAGAAATGCATTTTTATCTTTCTCCAGCCATTTATCTTTCTAAATATAATAAATGATTGGTATGAAATAGCCAAAGTATGTGGGATGGAATTCATGAAAACCAGTTGATTTTCTTAATTTACATCTTACATATTTTTTTAATATATGTGTTGACTTATGATTGATTTATTTTATGCATTTATTAAATATAAATAAGACATTTTTATGATAAAGCTCTATATTTTCATATAATATATTTTCAGTTCATAAATGATAAAATGGAATCAAAAATATATTTTATAGTTTTAAAGAAAACAGATTCAAATGAGAAAATTATTTAAGCCATTTAAATTTGTTTTTTCCAATTAAAAGTTAATTTTTAGGATTTCAAAACTACTGAATGTAAGTAATTATGTTGTCACCATTGTATTTTTGCCACAGAATAAATTCTGACTAGGTATTTTGTTGAAACTATTTTTTGATTATCTACTTAATGACTAAGACTTTAAAAGATATTATTTCTTTCCTTATCTTAATAAAATCATTTCTACTTGAATCATCTTTTCATTATCAAGTAGTTTTATTCCTTTCAAATGAAAGATAACAGTTTTATGATTTTATTTAGTGCTTGTCATAAGGTAATTTTTATCAAGTCGAATTTATGCTTGTCAGTATCATTTATCATATTTATGGCTTTTCTCTGGACATATTTTATTTACACTGTGGGTTTGATGTGTGTGAAAAATGTGAAATATTTTTGTCCTACATCATTGGTTAAACATTCATATGTTGCATTATTTGCGGCTTTATTTTTTCTTCTTAATACAAGATGGAAATAATCCTAAAGCAGGTATAAATTCTGGAGGAATTTGCTTAACTTTTTTTTAGAATATAAAGAAATATCTCAACAGTTTTAAGGGAATTTTTCTGAGATTCAAAACCAAAAATGAATTCAGTTTCAAGATTATTTATGATATTCCTTGCAGTGATTGGTTGTTTCATTCTTCAAGGCTAAAATCACATTTGAATTGCACTCAGGCATTTGTTATAAAGAAACTATTTGTAAGGAAAACAGTTTTTGTATTTGGGATGATTTCATTTAAATGTTTTCTAGCATCCAAACTTTGTTTTTCTTGTTTTAATTACTGTTTGTCTTTGTTACTAAGAACATTTTTGGGCAAGTTGGAAAATCATTTATTATAAATTTTACTTTAAAGATTTTTACAAATCTAACAATATTCAATATCTTTAAAATTGTTTTTGCTGTTAGTACTTTACCAGTTTTTAGTTTTTACTAATAATTTTGAATTCTGGTATTTGTTTTCCCTAAACACAATACAATAAGTAAAAAGAAATGCTTAGATTCTTTTCATTTTTCATTTCCAATTTTAGACAAATTCCTCTTTATTATTTTTAATGAGTTGCAGAAAATTGGTATATTTTTGCATGAAATCAATATTTTATGAATATTGGATATTTTCTTAATCAAAATTTGAATAAAAACTTTTGGTGATTTTTTTTTTTTTTTTTTTTTTTTTTTTTTTTTTTTTGTTTTAAGTTGGGTTCATTTATTATTTCATTGCCCTGTTGACTCATTCTTGTAACTGTCAAATGTGATGAGTGATTTTCATTCTTATCTAGAACATTCTTTTGCTGTTAAAGAAAAACGCAAAATTGTCACTGTAAAAGCTGTTGTGTCTTGGTAATTTTAATCAGTTTCTCTTCTGTACAATATTTAGCTTAATGACCAGTTGTGAATCTATAAGTTGTAATTTGAACTTTATCTCCCCCCCCCCCCAACCTCATTTACTTCTGTTTAACAATCCTTATGAGCAAGAAGTGAATTGGAAGTTTGTGTGTGTCGGACTTTAAATCTACTCAATAGGCAGATCTTTTTTAATTCTTTGCTGCTGATAACTTTCTTGATATTACATTGTCGATTGTTTAGCTTTTCAATCAAATGTTTCAAAGAGCAACTTCAATTTCTTTTTAGATTTTAAGATCAGTTCTGTTCTCATCTTTTAATTTTTATTCTTTGCTAGTTATATATATATATGTGTGTGTGTGTGTGTGTGTGTGTGTGTGTGTGTGTGTGTGTATGTTCACATTTTAGGTATCTTAAACTGGCTTATCTTTCTCTATTGAAATTTTTAACCCTAATCTTATATTTGTTAAAATTTCATTGTTTTATCTCCTTTTTTATGGCTTTTCAATACTGATTAATACATCTTGTGAAATAAGTGCCTGACATTTTTTTCTTTTACTGTTCAAAATCTGAAGAATCCTGCTTCTTTTTGAATCTGGATTCTTTGCAATGGTCTTCCACTTAGTTATGATATATGATTTTATGTATTTGGCTAATTGACAACTTTTTCTTTCAAGCAGAATAAAAGAACTTCATTTGGTGAACCCTCTTTCTAACACACACAAACTAAACGATTTCAGTCTGTGTTGGTTGGACAGTTGTTGTCATTTACCCGTTGAAAAAGCGTTTATAGTCAAAGTCTTGTTGCCAATAGACCGTCAATATTTTTGTTGTCTGACTAATGTCATTCTGTTATTGGCATTATTGTGTTTAGACGTGTACAATATTTGTCAGGTCTTCATCGTTGATGGTCAGTTGATGGCTTCTTACTTAATAAGTAAAAAAAAAAAAAAAAAAAATATAACCCCAAAGCCAGTTATCATTTGACTGGAGTCTACAATAATATCAACTTTGACTGCAGGAATCATGTCCCTGTATAGAGATTAATAGACTAGAAAATCTCTCTGCAGAGATTTTGATGTGCTTTAATTTTGCCTTTGTCCATAAGAAGAATATCTATGAACAAAGTCAATTTCAAGGATGGCAATTTGTTTTTTCCTAATTCAACAGATCCTCACATAAAATTGTAGAAGATCTCCCACCATAATATAACCAGTTTTTGGTATAAAATAGTCAGGCCTTGAACTGTCAAATACATTTAATTGGCATTTCAATCCCCTCTTTTGTTTGTTGTACACTTTATCATATAAGGATTGTTTAAGCAGAATATCATGCAAACCATTCTTAGATATCAACTGTGTTTTATTTCACATACTGTATTAGTTTTAAATGTTTATTTGATTTTTCTAAATATATTCTAATATTGACATGTATAATTTTACATAAACAAAATATATATTACATTTATTGTAAAATCACATGCACACACACACACAAATTTAAAAAGAAAAAAAATACTGTGGTTTATATTTTTACTTCCATTTTTAAAAGTTGCAATGTCCTCCTCTTTAATCTCCCTTTCTTTTAAAAGCAAATTGTTCCATGCTTTACGGCAGAAAATCAAAAAGATTTGTTTTTTTTTGTTTTTTTTCTGGTCAAAGAGAAACCTCCACACCATTAAAAATGTGGCAAATATTTTTTTGCAAAGAATTATTTATAAACAAAACAAAAACTTGTTTCTATTTTCTTAATTTGTTTCTTAAAACACTGAAACCAAATGATAATCATTTTGTCTTCCCAAATACTTTTTGGTTGTTTGATTTGTTAGTTCACACACACACACACACACACACATATATATATATATATATATATATATATATATATATATATATATAATTGAACAAATATTGACTTTTTCATTTTGTAAAATGAGAAATGGGCTTCCTGATGCTTGTTAGTAATTGATTATAAACTTCCATAATATTTTTCTTTTATTTTTTCTGTAATTCTCCGTGCAACGACCATTCTTAAATCTGTTTTTGTTTGTTCTCCACCTCCTCAGCATCATCTCATGCCTGTGTGATTGACTTGCATGCTATTTTTTTTACATATTAAATATACTCTTAAAAAGGAGAAATAAGTGAAACATTCAAAAATAGTGTTTGCAAGTGTAATTTTCAAATAAAAAAATTATACTTGACGTGTATATTATTAACCACAGCCCTCATATGTTTTAATTAATTTCTTCTAGCTTAAATCTTTTCTAATTTTCTTAGATAAAATTGTTTTATGTATTTAATACAAACAAATATAACTCTTAGAATTTCAACTTGTTCTATTAATCTTCATAAATTAACTATTGAAATAATTTCATGAAAATCCCAAAATAAACCTTCGTTGTTAAGCTTCCCACATTTAATTAATTACATTTGAATTTAGTTATTAGAAGAAATTGAATTAAACTTTAGAGGCATTTAACAAAATCTACCTGTTATTGCTTCTAAATTTGACACTGCAAACTAAAGATTAGTAGGATAATATATTTGAAGTTGTTGAATTTTTACTATTTCATTATTTTGTTTAATTATTTTTGTTACAATTGAATTCCTGTGTCTGTCACAACCTATTGCTGTTTCTTTTTAACAAGAATGGCAATGGAATGATTGGTTGCTTGTATCCCTAAATTTCTTCACCAGGAATTGATCAATGCAAGTTGTGAAAAAACAAAACCCCACACTTGTTCTCAATGTGAAGGTCTTGTCTTTTACCCTGTGTATTCATAATGCACAACACTCCCTTCACTTTACCTATGCAACACACTCATTTTTCGTTGCCTACTCGCTTTCGTGCACTTTTACTT